GTAATAATCGATCCTAAAATGTAATCATAAATTTGTACTATATCAAATTAAAGCTAATAAAAACCAACTGGCATTGTCACCAAAGTTCAAAAAAAAAATAAAAAAAATAAAAAATAAATTTAAAAAATAATAGTCAAAATATTATTTTATTAAAGAGTTTTAGATTAAATAATAATTACAAAAAGCTTTTTATATATAAAAGAAGAATTAATTCTAAGAACTTCTAATAACTAATTTTTTTTTTTGCTTTTGCTAAGATCATAATTATCAGCAACTATTGTCTTTATTGTATTTTAATTATAGTTACATAACTTGTACAAGATAAGTATACAACTAGTCATATATATAACTTTTGGTTGTTTATTTTAAGTAGTCTATATATATAGCAGGTTTTATATTAGCTGTCATATTTGCAATTTACTAGAAGATTACTTATTTAAATACTTTGATTTCTATACTTATATTAACAAATAACATACAAGTTTCTGTATATTTAAGTGCTGTCTAATTTAATTTTGATCTTTCTTTCTGTACATTTGTTAAGTTATTATATATTTCAGAATACATCATCTGACTGTAAGGTTTTAAGGAGCCTCTTGCTAACTAATTACTTATATTTAATCTTTTGTTAACAGAGCTCACCTTTGCAGAGTTCATTCAGACCCTAGTATCAACTTCATAGTATATTCTTAGTACTTATAGTATACTTTTGTTTTTAACCTCTAATTTCTAATTCAGATAGTTTAGAAGGACTATAACTTGTTACTGATACTTCAGAGTCTGCTTTTTAAGATTTTTTTTTTCTAATTTAAGACTTTCAACAGTCTGATTAGTAGTATCTCTTATCTGAGGTTCTTGCCTATTTGATTCTTTTTACATTGGTATTTGTTTTCTAGGTTTAGCCTTTATAGTAATACTGTCAAAGATCTATGCTACATTTCTACTTGGGTCTTCTTAAGTAGGCTTTAGCTTTTCAGTTTATAAATTTATATAACTACAAAGACTTATCTTAGTTTGTACTATTTGATGCCAGTTTGCATTTTTCTGTATAACTTCAACATTGCACAAATGCCCTATGACCTGCCAGTTATGCTAATGTAACCATGTTACAGATATCTTATCCCAACTAATCAACAGAATATTATTACTATAATATCATCTATATATTACATAGATAATTATTCAAATTTTCACTATTAGTAGGTTTTGAACTTACTAACTATTACTTGAAGAGTTGACAACTTATCTATTTTACTAAGTTGCTATACTTCTAATAACTAGTTTTTTAAAAAGACAAAAAGTTATCCTTTTTATAAATTTTAATCTAATAATTAATTAGTTTTATAGCTATCATATGTTGTAGCATTATTTTAAACTATATAAACATCTAAAAATATATTAGAAATTAAGAAATTTCATATGCATTTTATTAATAATGCTTGTATACAAATGATAAACCAAGAAATGTAGCAACCTAGTAAAGTGATAGGTTGTCAACCTTCAAGTGGCAGATCTAAAGTTCAAATTCTAGTGATAGCAAAAATTTGCAATTCTTTTTATATTATAAATAACTGTCTTCTGTGATTAGTTAGAATTAAATACTTGTAATTTATATTATATTAGCATAACTAAAAGAACTAGGCACTTATACAACATTGTATAAAAGAACACAAACTGGTATCAGGCAGTGTGAACCCAAGATAAGTTCTTAGGCCATGTAAGTCATAGAAACTAGGTAGGAAGATGGAAGCCTACTTGGAAGACCTGAGTAGAGAGGTAATCCAAACTTTTGATAATGCTACTGTAAAGACTAAATTTATAAAACAAAGCTAGAACTTGTAAAACTAATCAAATGTACTAGTCTTTAAGAAAAAACTGAATGAACCAATTAGACTGCTGAAATTTTCAGATTTTAAAGAAAAAGGGTATATGTTAACAAACATGTAAACTAGAAATATATAGTTACAATCTACCTTTTTAGACTATCTGAAATAGCAGTTTGGTAGAACTTGAATTGAATATTAAAGTAGTAAGAATATATTGTAAAGTCAGTATCAGGATTGAAGTAAACTCTACAAAGACATAGTGGTTTAATAATATACTTTAACTGCTAGTATTGATCTTGATCATAGCAATATTGAATTAGCTATAAGAATAAAATACAAAAAATTCTAAAAGGTTTAGTACAAAATCAAAGATTCCAAAAAACTGCTTTAAAGACTTAGTGGCTATAGCATATTTTCATTAGCATCTGCTAGTATTATTGGTAGGCAGAAGTAGGTGGGCAGATATAAAAACTAAAGTAGTTAAATAGAGAACCTACAAGCAGGTTCTAGGTATAGCAACTAGTATAAAACCTTCAGGTGAACTATTTAAATTAGACAATGACTAAAGTTGTACAAGTAGCTAGTTGTACACTTTTTTTATAATTGCTCTCTGTAGTTGTAATACAACTATTAGCCAAATATATGATTAATAAAATCCTAGATCGCAAGTACTTACCTTAATATTTAAAAAAAAAAAACAAATAATAAATCAATATTGTATTTTTCTAGTTTTACTAATGCTTAATGCTTTATTATATAATAACTTGCATATTAACTAAAAATAAAACAAATATTATTGTATAGCTTATACAGTATATTCATTTACAAAACTTTTTATAGTTATTTAATGTTTAGAAACCTTCTTACAGATGTAAGTACAACTTTTAAATAAAATTATTATTCTTCTTAGAATATACTATTAGCTTAAACGAAATAGCCCCAAATTCTGCAAAAATTGATGCTATATAAAAAATTTAACTTTCTAAAAATAGCACTATATTAAGATTTTTTTAGTTTAGCTAAATATTATAGACAATTTATTTTAAATTTTTTAGCAATAGTTCTACTTTTAAACAAACTTCTATATAAAGATAAACCTAATTATTAGAAAAGTAAATAACAACAAGCATTTGAATTACTTAAAGAAAAGCTTATTACTGCATTTATACTAGCTTATTTTTATTTTAGCAGAAGATTTATACTTGCTACAGATGCTTTATATTATGGCTTTAAAACTACATTAAATCAAAAAGATAGAGATAATAAAAAACTTCTTATTGCTTATACTAAAAAAGTTTGTTACTTTAAGAGCAAATTTATTTTGCTACAAATTAAAATATACTACAATAGTTTGAACTATTAAACATTTTTATAGTTATTTAAAAGTACAGAATTTACTTTAATAACTAATTACTTAGTATTAAAATAGCTTAAAATTATAAAACTTAAAAAACATATTAGATATTAGATTTTAAAACTTCAACTTTACTACTTTACAATTATTTATAAACAAGATAGAATTTATTTTAATATAGATATTTTTTCAAGATTTTGATATAAAAATTTAAATAATAAATTTAGATTAATATTAAAATTTATTTAATTATTTAAATTCTAATACAGTTCGTGACACCTAAAGACAAATAAATTTACTAATTTTTAAAAATTATTAACTTATACAAAAATAATATAACAAAAAAAAAGCCACCAAATTGTACTTAAATCAATTTACTACAACTTAGCAGCCTTTTTTTTCAAAAAAAATTTTATTCATGGCTTATACTAGTCCAAAAACATTCCATTTATATATGCTTCGAGATAAATGGGACAAAAAACATGACTTTAAATCGACCAATCAACTTTAATATTATGCATATTTGGAATTTGATTGGTCAACTTGTGTCATGTGATTGAATAAGATCGGTTAAATAGAGGAACAATGCCTTCAACATGTCTTTATGCCTTACAAGGCTATTTCACATGAAAGTCAACAGATGTCAAAAAAAATTTTCTCATGCTCCGCATCATTCAGAGAAGAGAATTGGTGTACAGTGCTTATAAATTCGAGGCGTGGGTAAATGAAACAATGAAAAAAAAAAAAAAAAAAAGCAAAATATTTTTTCAAAGAATTGTAAAAACATACCCGGGCTGGCTACAAGACAAATCAAAGAATGCCAAAGTGGAAAAGTTATAAAATACTTCAAAAGTATAACAATAAGTGAAAGGAACAAGCTGAAAAAAGACGAAAGAAAGAAGCTGAGAAAGAAGCTGATGAGGAACTTGCCAGAGACATTTTAGACTATAGTAATGAGTGTGATAGTGAGTGCAATAGTGAGTACAATAGTGAGTGCGATAGTGAGTATGATAGTAAGTGCGATAGTGAGTATGAGTGCAATGAAGTTGAAAGCGAGAAGGAGGTTGATGAAGAAACAATAATTACTACACTTACATGGAAAGAAAACGAAAAGAAAAACCCAAGAATCATAAGAGGATTACCGAAATCGATATATTATTATAAGTTTGGTGCTTCTGGTACACTAGCAAGTTCTGCCAAAGGGACCTATAAAATCACTGATTTTTTAAACCTGCAAGGTTAGTAAGTTGAGGTTTTTAATTTTTGTGTAATTAACATACAGATTTCTAAATATTTTTATTTTTATTTTATAAAAGCTCTTCAGTACCCATGACTTTTTGGGCAAGTGAATTTTTTAGTGAGTCCACAGCTTACTCTTCATTGTCTCAAGTAAATTGGCCTTCTTATGAGCTTTCAGCATCTACAGATTTAGCATCTTTTGCTGAATCTGATGTAGAAGAAACATTTTTTACATTAGATGAAAGAATCAAACAACTTAGAGAGGATCTAATGAACAATGAACGAACGTTCACTGTTAGTGAATATAATGAGCGACAGTTGGCTTATAAGTATCTTGTACGGTTAGGTGGCAGTGTTGAAAAAATGGAAGCAAGTAAAGAAGCCACACATATTACTAGCATCTCTCCCAAACCATATACAGCCCAAAGAATTCGGTTTTTGGCTGAATTTTATTTATATCATGGTTCATTTCTGATTACACAACGTGGTAAGCACCAAAAGTGCAGGTGATTGATTGATGATGAGGATGTTGCATTGCAATGTCGACAATGGATTTGTAAAGAATCAGATGCAAATGGTATTAGTTCATCTCGTTTTATGCAGTATGTAAATAATGTTATTTTACCTAAGTGTGTAGGGGACAAAAAAAAAATTTGTTTGCGAATTGCGAAAAGATGGTTGGACATTTTAGGGTATAAATGTAGAGAATACAAAAAGAGAATATATGTAAATGGTCACGAAAGAGAGGACATTGTAGCGTATAGAAGGACTTTTTTAGAAAAAATGAGAATATTAGAACAAAGAATGGCAACATATAAAGGGGAAGCAATGGTAAAAATTCCGCCAGTTCTAAATAGAGGGGAAAAAGAGTTAATTTTTATAACTCATGATGAATGTATATTTTACTCGAATGATGGGAAGAAAAAAATTTGGGTACCCAATGGTGAGATGCCATTACGAAAAAAGGGAGATAGAAGACCAATAATGGTGAGCGAATTTATTTTAGGAGAGTGTGGTCAGTTAAAACTATCTAATGATGAGATAAGGATGCACCTGAACATTCCTGTAGAGGCACATTGTTATATAATTCTTGATAAAAATTAAGAAAACTATTGGACTATAGACAATTTATTGAATCAAATTCAAAGTAAAGCGATCCCCATATTTAAGGCAAAGTTCTCTAATGCAACTACTGTGTTTGCTTTTGACAATAGCACCAATCATGCAGTATATGCAAAGGATGCTTTAATTGCGTCGAAAATAAATTTGGGACCCGGAGGAAACCAACCAGTGATGTGAGCAACAACTTATGTTGATGCTAATGGAAATCAACAAGCCCAGAGTATGGTATTTGATAAGGATTATGAGGATCTGACTATGTGGGGAAAGCCGAAGAGAATAAAAATAATATTGCAAGAAAGAGGACTTTGGAGGAAAAGGTTGCACTTAGAATGTAAATTTTGTAAGAATAAAGAATCACGAAATGATTCTTTATGGGTAGACTGCTGTGCAAGAAAGGTTATAGCTTCCCAACCAGATTTTGTTGTACAAAAATCTGCTGTTGTGGAATTAATAGAAAACGCTGATCATTTGTGCATTTTTTATCCAAAGTTTCACTGTGAACTTAATTTTATTGAGATGTATTGGGGTGCAGCCAAGTTCTATGCAAGAAATCACTGCGACTACTCTTGGGCTGGTCTACAAAAAACTGTTCCGCAAGCACTTGACTCCGTTGATGTTGTGACAATTAGAAGGTTTGCCAGAAAATCCTGAAGATACATGGAACTGTATCGTGAAGGATTAACCAGAAAATTGGCTAAGTTCGCTTGCAAGAAATTTAAGTCACATAGACGAATTCCACAAAGAGAGAGATCTTTTCATACAAGAAAATATTAATCGTATTGACTTGTAAGTTGTTTTTTTTTTTTTTTTTTTTTTGTAAATATCTGATCTTATGTTTATTCGATTCTAGGCCTAATTAAAGCATCAATAAAATTGTCAGTTCATCTTCAAAAATAAAATGAGATTCGGGAGTTTTTTTTTTTTTTTTTTTTTGACCTTTTTTTTTTTTTTTTTAAACTATATTGCATCTTTAGTTTAGCATTATCAAATTAGTCTTGGCAAATAATAGTATAGGATGGATAAACGGAAGTTAGAATATTAATGGTGCATTAAAAACTCAAAGCTGTAGGTTGAGAAATTAATTAGATGTGCTCATTATTATATCATGTTAATAAGGCATTGCACAAATAACAATAAAATTGTTTGCATAAAATTTATGCGAAGTTGTAATTGATTAGTCTTATTAGATTTTAAAGTTTTATTAGCAGTAGTATACAATTATTTTTTAGCTTATTTTAAATTTTAATCGGGTTTGATATAAATTTATAACTGTGAGTAATTAAAGATACTAGTAAAATTAATTTCATTAATTTTACAATTCAACACTGGTTTTACTAATAGTGATGAAGTATTTTATTAATTTTATTTCGCCGCATCTTTAGATAATAACTCGATTGGTCACGTGATTACGCAGAAAATATGAACATTAGTAGCTCATCCACAAGATTTTTTCCAAAACATGATTTTTAGCCAATTATATCGGTGGCACAGGTGTAACGTAAAATCAAAACAATTGAATTAAGCGAAAGATTTTAAAGTAATAAGCTTCATGTTTAAAGTTAGAGTTGAGGATAAGAAAGATTATAGTTTATACTAAAATTTCACGAGGAATTTTTTTTATTAGAACACAAAAGGCAGTTTCATAGGTAAAATTTCGAGTTAATAGCGATTTTTTAAAAAGATATGATTTCACGTTACACCTAATCCTTCGATCTAATTGGCTAAAAATCACGTTTTGGAAAAAATCTTGTGGGTGAGCTACATAGGTTGAAAATATGTGCAAAATGGCTTTTTTGCATTTTTAATTTTTGGATTCAAAAAAAAACAAGTCACGTGATTTTAGTCTTTAGATGTTGCGAACTGTACTATATTTTTAGACTTTACTACTTATTAACAAAAACAACTTACTAATTAAACTAAATATTTTATAATTTAAAATAGACATTTGTATAAAAAAAATAAAAAATCTATAGACTAACTATTTAAAGTTATTAAATAAACAGAAGTAAACTCTATTTTATATATGATATATAGCTATTTTATTCAAGACATTTAAAAATTGATATTATGTATTATAAAATCTTAGATAAATATTTTTTTTTTCAGTATTAAGATGATCTTTTTGGTCCTGACTTTTTATTAATACTTATATTAAATATATATTTTATATAAATATATTTATATTGAACTATTAGATGAGTATACAACTAGCTATATATGTAATTTTTTTATATTACCTATTTAAGAAATCTGTCTGAAGATTTTTTACCAATTGTCATATCTAATATTCCTGCTTAGATATTCTATTTAAATCCTTTAATCTGATCTTAGTATTAATTTTACCAGATCACAGACTCAGATCTATTCACCTTTAATCATAAAATTATAATTCTTAGACTATTTTTATTTTTAAGATAAACCTATCAAAGTAAGCTGTATTTTTTTTTACTATTAACCTAGTTTGATACTATAGCCAAGACCAATACTTACAGTCAGAGTTATTTATTAAACTATTATTACTTTTGTAAAGTTCATCCAAATTCTAATATACATCTTTTTAACTTCTTTATAATTATTTTTTATTAGCTACAACTTAGAACTAACAAACTCTTTAAACTTTTAATTCAAATAGCCTAGTATGATATATTTATATATCTTTTTTTTCTAATAATTTTAATAGTCTAGTTAGTCATATGCTTTTTTATACATCTTGATATTTGGTTTATCTGACAGTTACTATAAAAGTGTTTCATAGGCTTTTATTAGTCTAATAGTATTATTAAAAGTTTGTGCTATTTCTTTATTCAGAATTTTTAAGTAAGTTTCTGTCTTTTCAGTTTCTTAGCCTTTTATGCTCAGTAGTCTTATTATAGGTTTGCACTGAAGCCTTATACAATATTAGTTTTTTATATTCTTTTATATATATCTAACATTACACTTCACATAAATACTCTAAGCTTCCAATATCAAATAGGACCCAACTTGATATATCTAAGATTATAGATATCCAAAACCCAACTGATTAGCAAGAGACAGTTACTATAATACAGATATAATTTTCAAAATTCATTATCTATAGAAATTGAATCTTAGATCTACCACTTGAGGGTTAACAACCTATTCACTTTACTAGGTTATTACATTCATTTCAGATAGATATTATTAAGATCAAATATATAAAGATATTAAAAAATATACAAATACTTGTGATTAATATTAAAAAAGAGGCAAAGCTAAAAAAAAAGAACCTTTACTTTTTATTTAAATAAGACAAGGGTTTAAAAAAATTATAATTAACTTAGTAGAACTACTACTTATTATTACTTATAATAATAAATATATTATTGTTGCAACAGACTATTTAATCTAATAACTAAAAGCTTAAGCTATGTTAGATGCAAATGCTTTAACTCTTGCAAAATTTATTTTTACAGAAATAGTTTGTAGGCATAAAATATTCAAGATTATTTTTTTAAACCAAAGACCTAATTTTTAAAATAAAATAATTCAAGTTTTATATGAAAACTTTTTTATAAAATATAAGTTTTTATTATTATATCATTTACAAACAAATGATATAGTTAAAAGTCTAAATAAAACTTTGTGTAAATTTTAGCAAAAGTAGAAACAAATAAAGATTAGAATATAAATCTTTCTACTATGCTGCATGCTTATTAAACTAAAAAACATACTACTACTAGATATATATCTTTTCAACTAACTTATAGAAAACAAGCTGTATTAGTTATAAAATTAATTTAGTTAATAAAAGAAACTAATATAGAAATAAATTTAGAAAACAGTATTTTGTTATTCCTTAAATTGTAATACAGGCAAATTTGCTTGTATTAATTTTTTTAAAATTAATTTTTATAATAAAAACTTAACAATTAATTTTAGCAATATACTTTCTAAGTAAAAAAT